CTTTATTAAAAGGAGAATTATAATATTAATAGGAAAATTATTTTGCTGCTAATGACAAAGAACTCAGTTTCTTCATACTTGGACACAGTTATATTCCCAACTATGCCAATCTCAATATTATCTCAGATGGATACTGGTTCCCAGGAGGCCCTTAGGGGAGTGACCTTATGTCCCTCTACCTTTGATAAACCACTGCCTGCATGCATATAAATCAATTAACACCATCAGCTTATGCTAATTTTGAATTTAGATGGCATGCTGGAAATAAACAGGGGTGTTTATGCCTGTCTAGAAAGAGACCACAATAACAATCTTCCTTCTTCCCCGACGTACACACACAAATACACCCACACCCAGTGCACACACACATCAGGATCTAGCAAAACGCCAACTTCAAGGAGCTTTCATTTAGCTGTTTGTGCTCTCTCTGTTTTTTTGGGCAATTTGGACAAATAGAGCAGCCAAAATAACACCATGCAACATACAAATATCCCTTGTTAGCCATTTGCTTTCTGGTTTGCTGCTGTGTCATTCCCATTCCTGCTTTTGTTGCTGTTCTGGTATTGCTTTCTTTAATTTAGGGTACTCTGAGGGATGTGATGTTACCAGACTGGGAAGAAAAAAGACATTTAAAAGTGGAAAAAAATTACTCTATTCATGAATACACATTCCTTTTTATCATAGTCTGACTACCCACAAGAAATAGCACATCCCAGCTTCCCCCCACCCCACCACAGAGCATGACTTACTGGTATTAATGGTCAAGAGCCATGCCTGAAGTGTTGGGTCCAGACAAGAGCAGCTGGGAACACATCCAGGAGGGAGACGGAGCCTCAAGACACAGAAGGTGATCGAAGGAGCCACAACAGCCTTTGTGGTCAGACCAAATGATAATTTCCCTCTTCACCTCTCCCCTGGCAGTCAGGTGAAGGGTTCATAGATGGTGGCCAAGCCACAGCAAGCAGACACCCAAGGAGCTTCAAGGCCCTCCAAGCTCATCAGCAAAAGCTCCTTGTGCTTCCTTCTGAAAGACTTTTCCCTGCCCAGGCTCCGTCTGTGTCTGGACAATGTGTGGAGTATGAGGGTGCTATTTGTAGAGCAAAACACATCAGTATATGACATATTTTAGTGCAAGACATGAAGAGTTGTGTGCTGAGAATCTATTCTCTGCCATTGACTTATCTCCATGATAAACATATTCATGAACTAGGGGTAATTTTTATCTCTGATTAAAGCTGTAAGCAGGCACAACTCTTTCTCAGTTGACAGCTCTGGGCAAGGAATGGATATGGCAGAATTGTCTAAAATACAAGTCAATTTCCTTGGATCCTGCAATTCTCATCAACATGGGCATTTTCTGACGATCTGATTTACTTACCAGCAGTGCCCAGCCTTCTATGCCAAGGCAAAGAAAAACAGAGGACATATGCTGAAAAATTTGTAACATGGTCCCCTAATCAAGTGCTGGCTCCATCCTGTATCCTGTTATAAATTGTAATCTACATTGTGTCTACTGTACACATGTCATTATTCTTTCCTCCACTCTGCCTGATTGCATTTAAATACTTTTTTTAAGTCATTATTGGTTCTCCTATTATTTATATGTTGCTGGTTTGGTGGTTCTCTCCTTTTCTTTTTAGCAGAGAGACCCAAGGTTACTTTCCTCATATCCGAGGAGCCAATTAATTTCCAGCATCCCCCAATGCCATCCCAATAAATAGAGGATGCTGTAGCCATATTTCCTTCCACAGGGAGACCAGGATGTTGAGCCAGTTCTGAATCCAGTCTTAGGTCTACGCCATGGTTGAGATATTCAGAGGATGGTCTCAGCTGAAGCCCTGTCTGCTCACCTGATTACTGTGTGTGCTGCTTTCCTCATTGCTTTTCTATTGCACTCAGAGTATAGTTGTATTACTTGCACTCCCAGCCCAAAGGGACCTCATTTCTAAGCAGTATTACAATGACAATATCCATGGTTGGAGAGGAAGAGCTGAGGGGGGGTTTTATTTTTAGTGGGCTTTTAGTTATTTTTAATATTTTTGCCACAGACTGTTATTTTTTTCCTCCTTTCTCTAGACTCCTTACTTCCTCCTTATAAATCCACAAAATACCCTTAAAATTATTCATCTTTCATTTAAAACTGCTGGGGGCTAAACTGGCCTCCTGTGTGGTCTGGAGTGAGGAATTAAACACCACAGCAGCTTTCATGGGAACAAGTGTCCTAAAAAGAGAGACAGGCACAGGCACACCGTGGGCACAGCCCCTCCATAAATAACAGAACTCCAGCCCTCTTAAATATCCTCAGTAAGCCTCCCTAAGAGTTTTAGGGAGACATCATACTCCTTTAAACTGGGTAGTCAAGCAGCTTCCTTGCTGCTTGGGGGCAGAGGAGCAGTGCCAGTGTCAGGCACACACAGACAAGTGTTTTTTTAGGGTGGCAAAGCGATGGAGAAGCAGCATTTATGGTGCTCTCTGCCCTTATACCTCTCTGTGCCGTGTGCCTTGCCCTGTTTTTGCTGAACTGTCGCCTTTCAGTGTGGGGGAAGGTGGGACTGTGCAGGTGGTGGCTCTCCCCAGGACAGGCAGAGGGATGTGACTGGAAGCTGGCCGAGCCCCGGCGCTGCTTTACGCCATCCCAGCTGGTGGCACTACATCATCCCTGCAGGGCCGGGCAGGGGCCTTGACGCTGGCAAAGGGGGAAGGCAGGGATCAAACACAAGTCAAGGTCAGCAGCACGAGCAGAGATGCAAGGGGGAAATGCATCACGGGCAGTGGGGAGCCGGCTCCATGCTGAGCCCCGGAGCAGCTCGGAGACGATGCTGTGAATGTGGGACTACCCAGCTACAGACACAAAACTGGGCTTTTCTCTCCTTGAGAAACAGGGAGGAAACAAGGCATCCTTCAGGCAGCAAAGTGCTGTTCAGATCAGACTTCTAGAGGGGAGAGTGATAAAGTGGAAGGCAAAGAGGTCTGACATGGGCAAAAAACATACAATGAGGGATAAAGTGCAAAATCTTGCTGGCCAATGGCAAGTAAACCCTCTGTTAGTGAATCTAATAGGCGTGTGACACACACACACATGGTGGTAGTAGTTGAGCCTTCCCATCTGGCACTACTGATTAATCAAGTGCCTCTAAACCGAGGAAACCTCCAAAAATATCCATCGACAAGATCTGAGAGTGTGAGAGAAAGTAAGACAACTCCAACTGTGTCGGCAGAGGCTGTGCTTGATGCTAACAGGTGGTGATGAACATTGCGTGATTTAGAGCTCAGAGGGGAATAGGAATCTGAAAGATCAAGTATCATTCCAAAACACTGACAGACTTTGGGATCTGAACCTTCAGGCTTGAGGTCTTCCAGGACAGAGCAGAACATGAAAATAGGGAGAGGAAATGGAGAAATCGGCTCCAGTTCAGCATTTCCTGCGTTCAAGAACTTTTCATTATAAATAGTTTAAAAGGAAATTTGTAGCTCACCTGATATGCTGACATTCTTGAGAATGCAGAACAATACAAAGTCTGCTTTTGCTCAGATCTTAGACCAGTGTTCAGACCCCATTCCTTGCTATCAGTAGTACCTCGCATCCTTTACACATTAAGTTACAGTGACATCCAGACCCATACTCTATACAAATGTTGATTGGCAGGATGAAGACTGGCAAAAGTAGGATCTACAAGTGATTTATGAATGCAATTCAGTGGCTCTTGTTTATAAACAGCCTGGTTTGCTGAATTGCTGTATGCATCATTCCTGCAAAGATACACACAGGTCTCAGGTGCTCTGCAGGCAGCAAGAAATGTGCAAGGCACCAAGGAAGTGAAGGAGGAGAGGTGGAGTAAATGAAATAGAAACTCCTGAGAAGAAAAAATTAATTTCCCTGAAGTTGCAAGACTGAAGTTTAGCAATGGAAGGAATTCACTGGCCTGGCAACTCTGGATGCTGCCACAGGAAAGCACTTTGGGACTGCCTTAGCACTGTCCTCAATATCCTTAGCAGTTACACACCATGTTCTTCTCCTCAGGCACAGAACTACCTTGAAAACAGTTTATCCCTCTTACATCCAGTATTAAGCAGCAATATTAACCAGCCAAAGCTTTGCTATTGCACCCAAATAAAATGTGATCAGAATTTGGGTTGATGAAGATCTGGTGAGGGAACTGCACAGGGCAGAGAAGGATTTGTTTTCTTTTTCCATTGTGTCAGAATGAACCCTATGAAAAGAGGACGGTGCAGCTTTAATAATAAAAAAAAAATGAGAGAAGGAAAGGAAGAAAAAAAGAAAGAAAGGTGCCTCAGTTGTCTCGGCAGCTGATCAACAAAGGAGCAGTCGTGAGCTGTAACCTCTTGGAGCTGCAGTCTGGAACATGACACATGTCAGGCTATGATAAATGGTGCGGAGTGTGTGCAATTTCAAGCGCAATGCCCTTGAGATGCTCAGGACCCCGATCGCAAATGTTATTGTTAAATTAAACCTTAAAGGAAGGATTGGGAAGGGGAGGGGTGGCTTTGTGCGTGTGTGCGTATGTGTGTGTGTGTATGTGTGTATTTATTTTTATATATATATATATATATGGATGTATGAAATGCACAGAAGAGAAGGGGAAAATGGCAAGGTGAGGAGAGAAAAACTTTATATTTCTTTTAATTGAATTGTGCATCTTCTAGGTCTGGTTGAGCTATGGGAGAACTTCAGGCAGGGTTTTTCTATCCTACAGGCATTTTATTACTTTTGCTCCATCACAATTTGATAGCTAGAGATCAGCTAAAGTAGGCAGGTACAAGATTGGAAAACAGGTAAATAAATAAATAAACACATGCCACAGATGTGCAGTTTCTCTAGCTCAAGTATTCTGTGTCCAGGTACCTTTGAATCTAAATGAGTGAAGTTTCAGAGAGTACTGAGCGCTGATTTTTGGGAGCTGCTGGTCTCTGAGGGCTTGTTTGTAAGTTGCGTTGTTGTTTGATGGTGTGTGTTTGTTCTTTCTGAGACAAATACTCACTCTCAAAAGCTGCTCTGAGAAAGAGACAATGTTTACATCCACATCCCACTGTGAGGAGAGCAGGGACTGAATTTTGCATGTTCTCCAGGCAGATTTCATCCCCAGCCTGTAGGAATGGCCCCAATGTGCAGCTCGTTGCTTCTGTGGTGTCAGCATCCTTGTTCCTGTGGTTTTGGAATGGGAGTGGGGACAAGGGCAGTGAGAAGTGTTTTAGACAAGCAATTGCAGTAGAGTGAGTGGTCAAGGGGTATGGAACAATGAGTAAAAAACAAAGCAACCTCTCCCACATGCTGAACAACCTTTTGCCAGGAGAGGTGGCAGGGAGGGCTCCACAAGCCTTACCCTCTGAATTTTGCATCACATGGGTGCTGTGGAGAGCAGGGACTGGATCTCCTGGGCTCTCGTCTGTGCAGCTTCCAGTTGCTGCCTTGCTCCCTCTAAAAGGGTGAGAACCAACATGCTCCTACCTTGAGCTTGTCTCCGGTCACTTTGGACCTGGATTTGAATCTGTTCCTCTCTCCTCTTCCTTCTGCTGCCTATTTTATGTCTTCCATTTTTTCCATGTGCAGAAGACCCTCCAGGTAGAAACTCACACAGATTCCTCAGAAGTCCTCTCTTTACTTTCTCCCTTTCCAGCCTCCCTCCCCCACCACATCCAGGCTAAGTGCAATTAGTGTAGGCAGTGCAGGAAACACAGTGGAGAAGGGAGCTGTGTAAACGAGGGGGAGGACATGCACTGGGGGAGGTACGGGGTGGGGGAGCTGGAAAGTGTTCAAGGGGAAATGCTTGCATGGCTCACATAATTGAAGGGAAGAAAGAAGCAATGAGAAGCATAAACCCTCCACTGGAAAAGGAGATGGGAAAAGCCTTTAAATCATGATGGAAAGTAAATTCAAACAAACAGTAAAAGGTAACAAAGGACTAGCAGTGACTCATTTAGCAAGATATATTGTTTGATCTAATTTTCACCAGGTACAAGACAAACTCTCTGGTTGGGAAAATGACCATCATAAGAGACCTCCATGACCTATTCAAAACACTTAGGACAAGGAAAACAGGTAGCAGAGGTCTGGCTGCACCAGCAGTAATCCATCTACTTATTGCTCCCGGTTTCCTCCATAGTGACTCATTGTCCATTAAAACCTTCAGAGTGTCATGACAGCATTAAAGCCAAGGCTCAGATTTGGGAAATATAACATATTGAAAGAACATATTAGATACCAAAGTACTAAGATTATTATTTTTAGATGCATCTTATGAACATCCTACATCTTGTTTTGTACTTTTTGGCTACTGTTGCCTAGCGTCCAGGAAAACTCAAGTCCTTTTTCGGTTCTTTGGAACATTTTCTCCATGTTTCTTGTTATTAAAGAAAATAAACATTAGACAAAAGCAGACTTCATTGTATCTATAAATAATTTAATGCAGATGAATTCATGGAAAATACCAGCAGGCAGATTTTTGGAGAGAAAGAAAGAAGAAAGAAAGGGAATGGTCTAAGGTTACATGGCCAGCAAATAGAAAGAGTGAAGCAGCAAGAAACTACAAGATGTGATGAGTAGACACAAACATGAAAGTAACTAATAAAGGGTAGCTGAACATAAAGATGCCTTGGAAAGACAACTCAATCTCTTTAAAAACAGATTATCCTTTAGTAATGAGCTTCCTGCTACAAAGGAAAAGAAGGCATTTGCTGTGTGTCTTGGTAGGGTACCAGAGACTTACATTTAATCATCTCTCATACTGACATGTTACCTCTTCTAAATTTTCCTTCTGGGGACAGGTGGCAGGCGATGACAATGTTGTGATGATTATTTAATAATGTATCTCTCCTTTATGACCTATCACAAGATCCTGTGGACTTAGAAGCATCTGTGGATGGATGCCTGAAAACTTGTTGCTATTCAATGTTCTGTCTCATCCTAGAAGAAAGCCTATTGCATTAGAACATGGAAGGTTATATGAACATTGAAAAAGTTTGGCTGTAGACAGGAGGAGCTGGTGAAGAAATAAGTGGTAGGAAGGAATAAGAGCATTTTTAGGAGGAATGGAGCAGCTCTGCTTGATTGCAAACAGCAATTCCTAAGCCACCAATTTTTGCTGATGTTGCACCAGAAAAGCCTTCCTTGAGGTATTGCTTCTGCCAGGCAAAGTGGAATAAAAGGCAGTTAAGAACTCAGCTGGAGCCATTGAAGCAAACATAAAGCAAAATCCCGTGTTGTATGGGATCCCTCCCTGCACCATGTAAGACATACGAGCCCTCTTTGTCCAGTCACTGCTTGGACAGGGATTGTATTTTTGTGCTGTGTCTTGGCTTTTGTATCTGTGCATAAGCAAAAGGCAATGGGCACTGAAGTGGAAGGCAGAGGAGCTGTAATCCAGGTCTGTGACCAGAGCTGAACGTGTCTCTGCTCCCCAGGAGTGTTTTTGGGAAAGGTGCTGCAGCACTGAGCTATCTTCTGCAATCACAGGACATCAGGGGAGGGAGACAGGGAGGTTTCCAGGGAAGAGAACCACCCACCCACAGGTGGGAAGAAAGGTTTACTTCAGACATTAGAGAAACAGAAGTAGAAGCCCAGGGAGAAATCATCTTCTTGCCATTCTGCTGCTTTGCCACATGCTGGGGGAGCAGCACATTGTTCTCCAGCTGAACAATGCCCAGTTCCCACCACGTGCAAAGGGAAAAGAATGCGAGCTTTGCTTTGCTTTATTATCAACTTGTGCAGTGCAGAGATAACTGCACAGGCTGCTCGGTCCCCGAAAAGCGAAGATGAATTTTGATCAAAATTGGATTACAGGGCATTTCATTTCTACTTAAGAATGGTTCTGAATTGGTTTCCCATTTACTCAATATCCACAAAAATAACAAAATAAAAACTGTCAAGACAGAATAATGCTGCTGAAAAAAAAAAATAAAGCTCAAAAATTTGTGAAAAAATAATTGGACTGAAACAGCTCCAAGTCAGATTAGCATTAAATCTTCTTAAGAATGATGAAGGCTCTTGCAACCAAAGGCAAGATATTTCATTAGGCTGAATCTGCATATTTAATTCTCAGCATGCCAATTTAATGTAATATTTTTTGGTTATCAGGGACCGTTCTTTCTTGATATATAATAATGACATTGCATTTGGTTTAAAAGTAGAAGTCCACAATCAAGGCAATCACAGACTATTAAGTGCTCAGTAAAATCCCAATCAAATTGTGTTCAAATGGGTTAAAGGGAGATGGTCAGAGCTGCCAATCCCAAAATACAGCCTAGCCCTTCAGCCCATCCTGTGGCCAAAGGAATAGTACTCTCTTGACTTCAGCAGACCCTGTGATGGAAAATATTTCTGTCCAAAACAAAATTGGCCTGTAATCTGGGTGAGCTATTCAGAGCAAACAGTGGCAAATTTAGCCTTTTCTCCTGTTCACAAATCATCCATGTACGGACTTTGTTGTTTTAATGCCTTTGCATGTATTTGTCTGACAAATACTAAATATAGAAATAGCTCAGCAGCCTGGTGACATTGATTATATCTTGTATTATCTATGGTAGATTGTCGTATATGACTGGTTCTTTAGGTTACACTGCAATTTAGCCATAGAGCAAATATGTTAAAATACCAGTGTAAAACGTACTAAATCAGATCCTCATGAATTTTAAAGCCTGGAGTCAGAAGCTCTTCCTCAATCTGTTTACCAAATCAGTGTGGCTGCTCTCAAATTAAAGTGCAGTGCCCCATAAGCAAGATCAGGCATATGAGCCATCATAAACCCACTCTGCACTTGTAAATGGCAGCTGATTCAGCTGTAACCTGAAAGCAGCTTTTGGGACCAGAGCATTAAACATTTCCAAAAGTTTCTTACCATTGTCAACCTTCTAGACTCTTTCAAAATCATCCAGCATGCCAGGCTGCTGGTTCTGAGTTGAGTGAAGTGTCTGTCCTCAGCAGGCACCTATGAAATGCAACAGCAATGTTCCCTTTTTTTTAAATGTTTGTTTTATAGCAACACGCATTTGTAAATGTGTGTGTTTGTGAAGGGATTGATTGACAATAAGATCATAATACCGAAAAGAAGAAAATCTGCATTTTTGCCAAACAATGTAGAAATATCGAGTGTGAGGGTCATATATGGAGGCAAATTCCATTTAAAGAGTTGAAGGCTCAGTGTGATGGCACAGAGACCAATGTCAGTGTTTGCTGCTCTGAGCCTACTTTTGTCAGAAATTGCTGCTTAAGGACCTCAGGTGTCATCTCTCCATGGAGGATATAATGTACATCTTATGATTTAGTCTTTTTTCTCATGCCAAAAGGGCAGAGCCAGGGCTGTAAATGTCTCCAAAACCAGACTAGAGAGGACTGAAGCCTACCCGTAGGCACAGGCTGCCCAGAGAAACTGTGGATGCCACATTCCTGACTGTGTTCAAGGCCAGGTTGGACAGGGCTCTGAGCAATCTGGTCTTGTGGAAGATGTCCCTGCCAGTGCCAGGGGGGTTGGGCTGGGTGATTTTTGGAGGTCGCTTTGAACTCAGACCTCTCTCTGTGAGATGACTGAAAGATATCCTTACACCCTGAGTGGACATTCAGCCAAGAGAATACTTGTTCTATAGTTACACAAAACCTATTTATTACCTGCAAGAGATCTGATCCTCAAGTATGTGCCAGGGAAAGGAAAGTATTCCCTAGGTCATGTTGTCTCCTCTTGTCTCGGATGTTTTGCAGTATTTCTCTCCAAGAAGAAAACTTTTCTTGCTGATGTGCCAGTCTCTTGAAAAAAAAAAAGAAAAAAAACCAAAAAAGACAAAAAATCCCCTTCTGCCGACATTCCCTTCCGAGTCTGGGAACCTCTATTGTCTTTTCTCTGGTAATAAATGATAATAATTAAAGGCAAATACACAATAATTAGTCACACTAGGTTTATCCATCTGGCATACCTGTATCTCATCACTGTGTCTTTGAAACAGATGACAAGCACCATATTGCACAACATCCTGCTAATGGGTCTGAGCAGGGAAAAAGAAGGTAAAAGGGTTACCTCAAAAAAAAAAAAAAAAAAGTAAAGAAAGTAAAAGAAAAAAAAGGTTAGCAACAGGGACTGGCTGACATTATAAACATTATAGAACATTTAAAAAAATAGTGGTGGCTGACTCTCAAGTTATAAACCACTTAGTGGCATATGGGTTTTCAACTGGGGGTTAGGAAAGCATTGAAATATGCAGCCCTTGGCTTAAACTACCTCCTCCTTAAAATACCTGTACCTGACATACCTACTGTTGAAACAAAGATCACTTCCTGGAAGATTTTAGCTGGGCATGCAGATGGATGAGGAAAACAAGCCATTCTAAAAGCTAACTGAAAATTTGGTTTTGTTCTGAGGATAAGACATTACAGACCCAGTAATCAGCTATTTTGGTCTCTCTTCTCTGGGTTGATTGATGCACACCAGGAGTCTCTTCATCGCTATCAGGGCTGCCTGAGAGAAGGCAGAGAAAAATTAATACAGCAAAGAATTTTCAACAAATATTTACTTATTTTTTTTTAAAAATGATCATACAAGTCTGGCATTTGATTTCTGGGAACTTGTGAGAAGCAGAGATTTACTTGTATAAATAATCACAGGGAGCCAATTTCAGTCACATGCATTCAGATTTCGATTAAACCTCCACAAGTGCTTCAACTCCCTTTCACAGAAAAAGCAGACCCTGGCATGCTCTGAGAGCTGATTTTCTGGTTTTAATGATTTTTGGGTTGCAGTCATGCCCAAGACACCCTCTGTGGAGCTGGGCCCAGCTATGTTACCTAGCTGCATAAAAACAAAGAAAACAAACAAAGGCAGTGCCTGGCCAAAAGCCTCCACAACCTTGGTGTAAGATGAGCATCAAGCACAAAAGTGATTTTGTGCTTCCCCAGGTCTAACCTTCCTGAGCCTTGCAGAGCTGATAGCTGAAAGCTACCAGATGGCACTCTCTACAGCAATAATATTATTTTTTTAAAGTATAATAGATTATAATAGATTTATAATAGATTCTGAGGTGAAAAAAAGTCATTTGTAATTGACACCAACTATCCAAGCTTCAAGGCAAAATCTTCCTTCATAAACATCAAGCTGCTCTATCTCTCACACTCTGTTAAGATTTGTACCTGGCTGGGATTTAGAGAACACCTCAGTTCAGCCTTTGCAATGAAGGTGCCTCTTTGTAGGTGTTTTTGAGCTGAAACCCACCACAAGTCATGGCTGGCTCATGTGATGCCAGCAGCTGTACTGTTTCCTGTTGAACATCCCAACCTCAGGAAGAGAATAACCATGACCCTGGCCAAACTTCTCTGCACTCAGAAAATGCAGCCAGGTGTTTGTAAAAATGGTAATGGCAGATTGGCTCTTTTTCATGTAGTTCTTGTGCATTAGGATCCCTGATCATACAGGAAGAGAAAAAAAATAATGGAAAGGTGAAGGGAGGTTCTACAGGTGATGCTCCCCTAACACCTCCTACTAACTCTATCACTGACCATATGGACATAGGGAATGCATCATTAACTGAGTTGGGAGAACTGATTTTTTTTTTTTTTTAATACACCTGGAGCTTATCTTGAACAATTTTGCCTCCCAGAAGCATTTCAGCCAAGCTAAGCCCACTGGCATACATCACACACAATAAACTGTGATGCTCTTGCAATAGTCTCGAAATGCAAAAAAAATTGTATTGGTCTGCAAATGAATTGTCTCCCTCAGTCTGGGAAGAACCATGAGGCTCTGGGAAGGGAAACTTATATAAAACCAGAGCAAAACCCTGCAGTTTGTCATTAATTCTTTCTAGGTAGATTAACTGGGGACAAGCTTTTAAAAATACTTCCTGTGCATATTTTCTATACAAAGAGACCTTCTCTTGTTTGTTTCTCTCTTCCTCTGGACAGTCCCTAGTGATGATTTTCACAGCTCTTATGGAAGCAGCTCATTGTTCTGCAGAGACTTAATTAAAGTGTACTTCCATGTGAAATTAGGCTATTGTATTTATTTAATCTTTATGGTAATTGCTGTAGAAGGGCTGTGACTGTCTGCATCCTACTCTCACACCCACGTCCCTCCCCACCCCACGGCCACCACTCCCTGAAGGAAATGGCAAGTTGTTCTGCCCTGGTTGAACTCCTCATCTGCTCAAGTGATGCATTTGAACTTTAACCCACAGACAGCAATATTTGCTCACCATGCCAGCGTCGTTCACAGGCTGATGGTGTGCTGGAAATGCTCTGCAGAGAGACACAGGTTTGTACTTTTCTTCTCCCAGGTATCAGCTGATACTGCATTGACTTCTTACAACTCTACTGACTTATTAGCAGAGCTCATGTGGTATTTCACGCTTTTTGTGCCAGTCCATAGGTCTTTCCTAGGCTGAATTTCATCTTGAAACTATGCACTCCATTGTCATGGGAAAGCCTTTTTCTTAAAATTAAAAACTACACGTCTATGAGTCCGGCTTAATCATTGAAATGTTAAAAATAAAATGTCAATGAGCATACAATTGCCAGGTATCATTTATGTCCAAATATTATCCAAGGAAATTGTAAAATACAGCTCTGGCACTTGATTGCTCTTGTTGGGGGTAGAAGGAATTGTTTCAGTTTGTTTCCAGAACATTTCTACAGTGAGATGGGTCTGTTTTCCAAAGAGATGTTGGTAAACTGAAAACAACATCAGGTTTCCTTGACTCCACTGTGCCTGGAAACATATGAGTAGAGTTGCAGTGAGGAATAAAAATCAAATAAATGTAATTAAAGCCTCCAAATGGTGTGATGCCAATTTGATTGGCATTTTTTATTTTGTCCTCAAAGACTGAGCTCCCAAAAAGCATTTGTCCTGAGATGCACCAGCAAACAGGTGATCTGGCCCCCTCTCAGACCATACCTAAAGTTCAAGTCTGACTCAAGAGAGTCACATCACAGGAAGAGGAAAATTGAGGTCTCTGGCTCATCACTGTAGAGATGAAATTGTATTTTCTGCCGTGCTCTAACATCCTGTTTAAATTACTATTGATGAAATCCTCTCACACACTGAGAGAGGATTCATATTTAACATAATGTTTCAGACTGGTTGAATAAAACACAGGAATCCAGCTTTTCATAAATCAGTTGTCTGAAGGACAGATTATAATCCAAAGCATTTCCAGAAATTCTCTCATCTGTCTTCTGCCAGGTGTGTATTTTATGCAATTGATAACCTCCACTTTGTTTCCATATGAACTGACTATTCTCTTTCATTCTGTCCCACAGGGCTCCGTGCTGGCCCTGGTGCTTCTGAAGCTCTGAATTGGCTTCCTCTTCTAAATCAGCATGAGGAGTGAATTATTATTGCAACATCACATCACTATCACTCAGATTCACTTTGATTTATCTGCAGGCTGATCCCAACAGCCCAGCTCTGCTTTCTTGCTGGGTTGATGCAGCTATTGTTTCAAATCTGGTGGTAGAGACACCGTATCTGTGCTCTTTCTTTGCAGTTTGCCTTTCTGGGTGGTGGGTGTGTAACTCCATCCTGACATAAGGGACACGTCCACCACTTTGGAAGAAGATATGAGAAACCACTCACTAGGCAAAAATGGAATAATTCATCTCCACTGCACTGCAAAAGCTTTAACCTAATCCTTTGGGCACAGAGAATGGCTTCAACTCGAGGTTTTATAGCCATTCAAACTTTTAGTGTTAACCCTGACTATTCCTCTTCTCCATGTAACTATCTGATGGCTGTATACATCCCACTGAAGTCTGACTCTGGGGAAATCTTCCCACAAAATTAACTTTTCTGACACTCTAATACCTGAGCTAGTATTTCTTATTCTGTTTCATTTTTTGTTGCAATGACAACAACAAGGTAAAGAAAGGATGATTCATAACTTCTGAAGGGGCATAATATTCAAATATCTGGAAGCTCTAGATGGGGTTTGAGGATGACCCTTCATAGGCGCTGTGTTTGCATGTCAAATGACGCATATTGCAGTCTGAGAGGTCTTCTCATCTTAGGAAAACACCAGATTTTTTAGGTACCTAAAACAACCAAAGGTGTTAAAAAATGAGTAATCTGCTCTTTTGCTTGTTTTTCCCTGGAGCAGGCTCAGTTTTTAGGTAAAGGGAATCTGGGGGATTGTTTGTGGGACTTCAGTTTGCCTTGGTTTTGCTCCATAGCTGTGACCTCAGCTATCTGCAATCTGTTCCTACACATTCCCCCTTGTGCAGGTCAAGAAAATGTGGGCATGAGCTCAGCAACTCAAATGAGCTTCCACCTGCAGCCCCTCCCGAGCATAACTCCTTAGACCTCCACCCTATTTGGAATTCCTTCTTTTCTACAATGCCTCCTCTCCTCAGAGAATTGCTCTTTTATTGAGTTTTTTTTTGGACTCCAAAGGTGCTGTCAGGAAAGGCAGAGGTTCTCTTTGATGCAAACTGGGTAATACCACTGCACTTGCTGGCATGTTGTACCTACAGGAGTGTAGGGAATGCATCTGAGAGGATGTTTGATCTTCCATGACTATCTCTTACAATCCCCTTTTTTATATGGTTTATATACACTCCACGTGTGTCCAGGCACTGCAGCACCAAAGACTGATCTCAAACAGAGCATGGCTGTGTTTAAACTGGACAGTGTTATCCTCCAACCCCTGAAAAATCCATGGGGCCACACCTTGCAGGGCCTAAAGGAAAGAAACAAGGAAAACAAAACAAAAAGCCCAGTGACTATGAACGGGCAGAAACTTCAGCTCCATTATCACTCCCCTTCATCTGCTCAAAAACCCTCGCTGCAGGGGTTGTCATGGTGATGCAGGTTTGACCTCTCACTTTTTACTCTTCCAGGAGCTAAAAAGGTAAAAATGAGCCATTCTGTCTCGAATGAAAATCAACCTTCCTCAGTCAAAGGACGCCAAATTGCTTTTTCCCTTTGTCAAACCCCCGAATGTTTCCATAGGCGACACAGAAATATATAAATAACCAGCACCAGCATCAAGGAGCACCCATGGGATGTGGCAGTGGCCATGGTGGATGTGGCTCAGCAGGAGTGGTCCATCCGTAAGTTTCCTAGAAGTCACAAGGTGCCACATCCCACATTTCCCCTTTGCCACCTCGTTCTGTCTCTACAGCCAGCTCCTTATTCAGCCACTTCAGCGTGGGGTTCCTGCTTGTGGCAGCTCTAGGGCAGAAAAATCAAATTATTGATTGAACTGTGCAGCAGCCTCATAAGGCATTATTAGCAGCCTGCTATGAGCAGGACCAGAAAGGGTAAAACCATTTATTTTTATTAATATTCTTGAGAGCTGGGCTTTAGCAAACCCACCATTTCCCTGGGCTGGCAGCAAAGTCATTGCACCATCTTCTCGTCCCTGGATGAACCTGGCAATGCACATGGAGGTCCTTCTGTTTGTGTGAGGGGTGGCCTAATGTATTGGGATAGAGCCCTTGTCTGAACTACGTGCAGAAGTAATCTCCTTCTGTCGATTGCTATTGAATCTAAGTCCTCTGCTTTGATAACCAAATCCTTCCCTACTTGCTCATTCCTCCCATCCAGTCTCTCCTCCCACCACTTTCACACAGTGCCAGGGTAGCTTGACATGTGAAACCAGCATGACTTCAAATCAAATATTCGGGTTAACTACAAGCTGGCCTTGAATGAAACATTTGAAGAACCTCTGATGCTAATTCCCTGATGCTTAGCACAGTTCCATCAAATCTCTTCCTGCACGAGACTCTCTCTACCAGTTCTACCTTAAACAAGAGCTACTGAATTCATTTGACAGAATCAAAACAATTTAAGGTATATATATAAATACACACACAGATTTTTATATATATATATATATTTTGCATGTGTGTGTGTATTTATATATGTCATATATATATATATAAAGTGCCAGACTTAAAATCCTACTAAACTGCAACTGAAGTCTGGAGTCATCTTTAAACAAGAGCTACTGAATTCATTTGACAGAATCAAAACAATTTAAGGTATATATATAAATACACACACAGATTTATATATATATATATTTTGCATGTGTGTGTGTATTTATATATGTCATATATATATATAAAGTGCCAGCCTTAAAATCCTACTAAACTGCAAGTGAAGTCTGGAGTCATCCAAAGTTCAAATATTTCCCATGATTTTGGTATGGAAGGTTCTGAGAACAAGTGTTTTTGGATGGTGTACCAATATAGGAGGTCCTCAGAGCACCAGACAACAGGAATTCAGCTGCTCTCCAATACCATTGTCCTCAAAACAGGGACCATCTCCCTGAAGATCCTTCACTCCCACATCCTTGCTTCCACTTTTCCCTTCTTACAGATGAATCTTTAATAAAATGTGTTCAACAGACAGGGTCTGACAGTCCTTCCTCCCACTCCACTGGCACTCACCAACCCCCAGACACACTCCAGTGCCCTCGAAGATTTGGTGCCTGAACCCCCGAGGTGTTTCAGCAGAATGAAGGCACTTCTGCCTCCCATACACTCCAGAAGCAGAGCTGTGCTGAACACCAAGTGCCTCCAGGCCAAGACTATCTCTTAGACCCAGCCATGGGACCTTCTTAGACATTCCCTTTTGCTCCTCTACAAATCAGCCACACTCATTGAGGCACTAAGGCCTTGCCCACCATCTCAGTGAGTAACTTCAAGCATTTTGAGAGGTGAAGAATATGGGCAGCCTCTGCCATGACCCACCTTTCTCCTTTGCCAGCCTCCCTGGTGTGTGTAGCACCTTCCCCCTCCTCATCCACACAGCAGCCTGGGCTGTCCTTGTCACAGGGCTCATGCTGCACCTCTTGCTCATTTCTGGAAACAGCCACAGACTTTCCCTTCAAATCCATCATCTCCTCCAGCTCCAGCAGTGACCATCTCTACAAGAGTCACCACGACCTCCTGATTCATTCAGAGGAGGCATGCCATGAAGGGACACAGTAGATTGCTTCAGATGATGCCCTGAATTATGAAAACAGACAGTATTAGTGACAACACTTTAAGAGTATCTTATTCCACAGTTAATTATATCTGTGAAACTTTTCCTTCACAACAGTACAGCCCAGTGAGTCTGATTTGCCTCTATAAAAGGGGCTGTCATGTTCCATGCAAGCCATTTCTCTAGCACAAACAGGCATTCTCTAAGAGTAAGCTTTACAGGGAAAAAATAAATATTTTCTCAGACACACCATTTTGTCTTAATTTTGGTTATACCAAAAGCAAAAGCACCTCTACTTAGACTTACTTTGGGGTGAGAGGACTGAAATAGTGCCCTGAGCCCATTGTTTTTGTACTGTAACACTCTGGATATAAGTGAGGGGGTGTTATGAAGGTGTTAATTTCTGTATGCTTATGCTCAGAAGTTCAGCCCTGAAATGCAAATTTAAAAGAACTTACCACCACTTTTTCTCTCTCTCTGTTATCCCGCATTATCCACAGCCTGAAAGATATAAGTCATTAGATAAATGACTGCCAGTGGAATGCTATAGCTGCAATGTAAACTATCAAAACAAAATCCATAACAACAACAACAACAAAAAAATAACGCCTCCCTCAGAGAAAAGTTCTGCTTTTCACATTTAAATGTACTAGTTATCAGTTATTCCTGTTCACAGGGCATTAAAATACATGCTGTTTCCTAAGCACTGTTGCAGCTCTAACTAGACTCAAGCTTGGATCTAAAATAGAACATTTTTTACCAAGCAGTATAATGTAAAACTGTTGTCTAAACATCTCTCCTCCTTACTAGATCTCTCTAGAGTTTTCTCCAGAGAATCCTGCTTTTTCTTTATAGCACCATCATTTATGTCTTTGTTTATTAGTGGAATGAACTTGTCAGTAATTCTCTTCCCACCAGCCAACCTTTGTCCCAGCTCCCTACGTGCTCATCTCTCCAGCTTGGATCAGACACAATGGAGAGAGCTCCTGCCAAAGTCGTTTCAACATGAGCTGCTCAGCCTGCTGCAGGGCAAGGAGGTCACCCCTGGATCCTCGCCGGTGGCCTCGGGAGCCCAGGGGCCACTGTGGGACCAGTGAGCACTGGCCAGGGCTGCAGTGCTCACGCCCAGAGGCCCTGGGGTTCACAAGTGGCACTGTGAGGTGGAAGGGATCTTGCAGGGTGCCCTGGACACTCAGCAATACACCCAATACAGGCATGGAGTGGGAAGGGGCGTCTCATGGAATTCCCAGGGCAGGCAGATTCCATGTGGAATTCTGTAATGGGCTGTAAGGTGCTGCCATGATGCTGGAAGCAACTTTAAGGCCCCAAACACATATGAGGGTGACTCTCAAATTCTAGGACTCATCTGATTGCACCACTCTAATTCAGCAGTTTAATCCAGGCACTGCCTGGACACATCCTGCAGATGCTCAGTCCTTCAAAAAGATGGAGTTTATCTCCCCCCAATCTTCTGCTTTTAACTCACAACTTCTGCGTTCAAGGATACTTGAGTCTGACTTTGAGTCCTGCCAGTGATTTCTTCCTCTGATTTTTAGGTAAACCAGCTGGGGACATTAGTGACAAATAAACTCTTGCCTAAAGTTGGAGCAGATGAGCAGCAAAGCCCCCGTGAACGGTTCCTCACCAACGGGCGGATTCGCTGCGGGTTGAGAAGTTGCTACGTGTCACCTGATCCATGGCAACTGCCTGTCCATGGCAAATGTGAGATAATTTAAGGGAGTTTAATCCTTTTTCTTTGCCAGTCCACATGATGAGTTCGTGCAGGGTGGTTGGTACACAGTAAATTCACACCGTAATTTACTGCGCACTAATTTCCCAAAGCTTTTAATTTCACAGTGTCTCAGTTTCCTCATCTGTAAAAGAGAGATAATAAATACTTTCCTTTCTGGCAGGAGTGCTCGAGATCCTTCAGCAGTAAACATAAAAGGAAACATTTAAAAATAGTTACTTACAGAAACTTAATTTTTTGTGTAAACAGTTATTTGGGTCTGATCTTATACTACAGCAGCATGAGACTACATGTAGGAGCAAATAAAATTTGAAAAGTAAATAACTTATGTTAAAAACAACTAGGATACTGACCACAATATTATTTATATGCAACTGAAATTGCAAATATTTTATTAAAGCTTTCTGTTTCAATCCATCTGTGATTCCTTATAAAGAAAAACTAAAATGATGTATTTGCCATAAAGAAGCACTAGACTGTTTTCTTTAAAAAGAAGCAACATGTGTCATGAAGGCCTAAACCTTGTATTTCTCAGGAGGCCCTAAAGTTCTTTTTGAGGGAGTGATGCATGATCAGACCCAGAAAACAGTGTGGTTTTATTTCAGATTTTTCTAGACTGTAATAGCCCAAGGGTATGTGCTATAAACTGGAGGAGTTGAAGGAGACCTGTTTTTAAGAGGAACGTGGTTAGGTTTCTGTTTCTGATTGGAATGTTTGTTTTAAACTTTTCTTTTAGGGGAACATTTCAGAACTAGTTGCAGTTTCAATGATGACTAAATTCACATCTCAGTCCCAGTCCCTGGGAGTTGTCCTATTCTTTCTGGTGCGGCTGAGACGTCAAGAAAGGGAAATTTGCCTTTAAAAATTATTCTTCCTGCTGAAATGATGAGTATAGTATTAAAACCTAAAGAGTGTGTAGGTCAGGAAGCAAAATGAAAATCAGGAACTTTTTTTCATTAGCATCCATATACTGAAAATTCAGATTAACATATAAAAAGGAAACACTTGATACTTGTGTGTATGGATATAAGATTCTTTTTTTTTCCCCCTCAGCTGCTGAAGGAAACTTTTAGATCTGTTCCTGCTCTAGTAACAAAGCAGTTTAAATTGAAAATGCTTTCCATTTCTCCTTTTCTAATTCTTCAGGTATTTCTGAGTGATATTTCACACAGGCAAAGAACAGCTAATTCCAATCAGCGGTTGCCTCCTTGAGAGAGTTACAACGAGGTGCAATCAGCTCTGCTCTGTTCCACGGTACTCAACTGCCATCCACTGGAGGAGAGAGGCAGAGGCAGGAGCTCTTCTTAGCTATTTAAGTCGCAGCAAAAATAAAAAAGAAAGTATGAGCTTGGGTCGTACTTTGCTTATTTATCTGTTCTCTTGCGTCTCCCTAACATGAAGCACAATTGAAGTTAATAAGTCTAAGAAAATACAGCTGACAGGAAAATCATTTCACTTTCTTGACCAAGTGACTGTCCTTAAGCACTGTCTATAAATCCAATAATTCTTAATAGCCATATGAAGAGAAAGAAAAGGAAAGGAGTGAAGGAAAACTACGGTTTTGAGATAAGAGCACTGATCCAGTCTACGGCAAGTAAGGATTCTTAGAGTACAGTCTTTTACACTACGAAGCACACAAGAATCTCCTTTAGTATGCTTCTGTAAATGTTAAATTCTCAAAATATCACTGATTAAATAAAAAGCACTTACAATAAAAGTCTCTAATTTTTGACTGCCACAAGAGTAACAGCAGAAAACAGGCTGGCTGCAGCCGAGGGATCTTGTCCATCTGCCCGACATTTTGATGCCTCAGCTGACTTGAATTAGGAGAGAATAACTTGGAAGATTTTTTGAGTGCATCCAGCCCCAAGTTAAGAGAGTCCTCTGAAGCAGTGACTTATATTGCTTAAGATCACGCAGGGAGCTCCCGGTTGTGCTCTTGATGGCTTTATTAGAAACACAGCGGTGGATCTGTGTGATATAAAAACCATCCAGGGGAGTGCTTCAACACCTGACCCCCCCTTTGCAAGGCACAGAAGTATTTGGGTGCAGATGGGATAAAAAAATAGCTGCAAGTGCTTCACCATTCCTGGTACCTCCCATCACCGTGTCTTTTCCCCCAAAGACGTGCCTCCCATGTAACACATGTTGGAGTGAACTTTAGCTCCTTGGAAAATGGGATGACACAGTTCTCTGTGCATGCATTTCCCCTGGATTCCTGCAGCTCCACACTGAAGGATGCTGTGTTGGATAAGGTTGAGATCCTCGGTACCCTGAGATCCTCAGTACCCTGAGATCCTCAGTACCTTGAGATTGAACTTTTCATTTCTGGCGAGGCCCTTGACAGCTGAGATGGGCAGCTCTTGTTTGATGTCACTCTCCATCACACTCAGGGCTGGAAAGATGGGTAGAAATATCCTTCACTGCCTTCCCTTCTGCAGGAGCCTGACTTGTGCTTGACTCGTGTTCTGCAAACGCCGCAGTCCTGGTGTAGACAAAATCCTACCAAGTCGAAGGTTTAGTTTGCCTGGCTAAAGGCTGCAGGATTTGACCTCTGGAAGCTCATGCTAAGTCCTCGCAGCTCTGATTTTGAGTTTAAGCTTTGGCCTGGAATAACAATGACTGTGAGGGAAGCAATAGGTTATGAGCTGGGTTAAATGATACCTGCTTCTTGCCAGAAAGTCTAACTGTATTCAAGCAACTTCTGTCCTCATTTTCCTTTAAATAAATATATAAAGATGTTCAAACTTCCTATCTGAGCTGCAATAATGAAAATCATGTGCACATTAATTTGTACAGGGGTCACCGAGTCTCCCCAGCTCAACGGTTTTCAAACAGAGTGCGTAGTAAGCCCATAAAACATTTATTTTTCATAATTTATGAAGCATTACATATTGTGAGTCCACAATGCCAGCTGACGTAATACGTGATAAATTTGAAATAACAAAACATTTCTCATGTATTTTGCTCCTGATGTGACAATGTGGGACATAAATTTAAAAGAAAGTTCCCTTAGAAGACAAAAGCAAGGCAAAAGAAAAGACTGCCCTTAAATCAATAAATACTTATATTACACCAATTTACTGAGCCATTCCCCCACTCCAAGGCTGTGGCTCCCAGCTTTTTGAAGCCTCTTGCTACCCCTGCTTCAAAGCTGGAATGAAAGGCTGCTGGGGTGGGTCACTGGTGCCCCCCACGAGTCGCGGGGGTGGCGGCGATGCCGCAGCTGCCAGTGCTGCCCTGTCCCTCCACGGCCACCAGCACAGGCTCCCAGCACAGCTGCTCCCTGTCCTGAGCCTGGAAAAACCTACCCAGGAATGATGACAGGCAGCAGGGCACAAAATCAATACTGTGTAAAGGTAATTTTCCTCCGTAACAATTATCATCCCTGTATTCCCAGGAAGAGTAGCAGTGAAAGGCTTTGCACTCTTGAAGATAACTTTCTAGTGCTAATTTAGTAGGCATGCAAATATGTAATTGCAGGATTATAATACAGAGCACAGAGCACTGCAGAAAACACTTAAAACTCACCTATGTGGCTCTGAAAGCCGGCTGATAAATTCTCATATTACAGGAAACACCTTACGGGTTGAAGGTTGAGACTCTCAGCATCTGTAAAATTGCCAAGTGGCTCCTACCAAGAACTGAGTACCTGGTGCTGAGCACTATTTCGTTTCATTTTGTCTTGTTTTGTTCAATTCAGTGCACCAAAGCAATATCTGCTTCAAGAAAACCCTGCAATCCAAG